CAGAGGAGCCGGGCCCACGGGAGGCTCCTCCGGCTCTTCCGACCGCCTTCCACGGAGGAAGATTCCATATCCACCTGGAATCTCTGTGGCATTGACCAAACATTGTCGCGGGCCCGTCAGAGAATACCAGTCCAGCCGTGCTACTACTACTGGCCAGCAACTTCACAGCAGTCACAAGACGCCAATCGTGTCAAATAGCATAACATGTGCTTTCGTGTTATTTCTTCGTCTCCTGGACGCGCTAGTGTCTTTCAAGGGAAAAGCCCTATCGGCTATCCTTGCAATGGCTATGCTACCGCCTTCATTCCGAGGCGCACGGCGGGCTTCGGAGCCCATCCTTCTCTCTATATTGTTTCCCGATCAAAAAAACTCCCCATGTAAAACTCCCAAGCAGGTCCCTTTTTTCGCTCCTATGCCAACCTTAATCGTACCCAGTAGCGTGCCCAGAATGAAAATGTAAAATAATAAAATAAAAATAAAAAGATACTAAGACAAGCGGTTTCTGAATCCGTCTCCCAAGCGAATGTCACAATGCCATCAACTCTTTGCTGTCGATCGGCAGTGATTAAAATATCTTTCGTCGTAAATCTCGCGGCCGTGTCCTTCCTCGTGCCGAAATGGGAAATCGCTCGTCTTTGCCGGCATGCTGCAACTGAACAAAAAAAAAATGGGTGTAGAAAGAAGAAAGCCACCCCCGCACAATATTGTTTTAAACACCTCGAGGTGTCATGAGATATTTCCAAATTTCGGGTACCTCGCCGCCCATTGGAAATAAGTTTCAACTCCACGCTGGTTCAAAGTAAAAAAAATAAAGATCCATATATAATAGGCCAAAGAGTAGCGAGGTGGAATAGTAAATAGATACAACCGAGGAGAAAAGTATGGCGCCAATAATTTTCGGTGATCCGATAATCCTGTTTTTTTGGAGAAGAAAAGACACAAGTCATTAAAAACTTTTTTCGATTTTAAGCCTTCCGTGACCGTATTGTGGATTAAGTATAAAACTTGTAAAAGCCAGATCGGGTATGGTGTGAACGTGGTATTTGCTCAATAGCAACCCTGGAACGACGGGATGAAAGGGACCTGCTGGAACGCAACCGGGTGTTGCATCATGGGAACCTGTTGAACGTATCTGACTACCTCCCATAGCGGGAAGAATGATTTTGGCTGGCAAGGGGCTTGCACAGGCACTGGGGCCTGGATGGGAACTGGTGCTTGCTGACAGATCACAGGTTGGGGGGGGACCTGCATCGGAATAGGCACTGGCGCGTCGTGAAACGTTGGTGGAATGCATTGGTCCTGGTACATCCCTAGGTCTCCCGCGTCCTCTGCATCATAGGTTGCCGGTGCAAAGGCAACGGGAACGTCGTGTTGCTCTTGGGCAAAGTCGTCGTCGTCCAGGTCATCAATGGTAGATCCGCTAGAAGTGAGCGATCCCTCATCGGATGTGGTGCTGGCGGGCGACAGAGGTGAGTCGTATTCATAGTCATCGACAATGGCGTCCTCATCGGTAACGTATTCTGGAATGTGTGGTGAGACTGACTGCTGCTGCACAGACATGGTTTGGGCAGCCGGCACGGTGAACTGGGAGCAAGCCATGACGCGGCATCGCAACTCAGACAGGGTGATTCTCAGCTCCGGGTTAGGATGGAAAATTCTACCCAGAATGTCATTCAGATCATCAGTCAGGGGAAGTATAGTCTTGAGGAAGTCCTGAGATCGAGTGTAGGCTCGATATGTAGAATCCTGGCAGGAAGCCTGTTTCCATGGGTTGCGTCCACAAGTCAAGTTTACCAAGATGACTCCTAATGACCAGACGTCATTGGGGGCGCACATGTAGTAAGGCTTTCGGCTTGATGGATTTAGGCATTCTAGGACATGGTCAGAAAGGTCGGTACAGTTGATTTGTCGTAGGTCAAGGCTAAGCAGAACATACCAGGGCTCATGTAAAAGGTTGAACCACATCCGTAGTCCTCGGAGCGATCATCCGCGGTGGCAAGGCCAAAATCGGCCAATTTGACCGTGTTTCCATTGTCCGTTACCAGAATGTTCTCGGGCTTCAGATCTCTGTGGAAGATACCCAACTTGTGACAGTGCTCCACGGCATCCACGATTTGGAGGAAGATCTTCTTGGATAGCTGATCCTTGCCTACATACTGGCCGAGCTCGGTGATGTTGAGGAACAAGTCACCCTCGGGGCAGTACTCCAGAATGACATAGATGCAGTCAGGGTCGTCCACAATCTTGAGCATCGACACAATATTTGGATGTGCCGAAGCTAGGTAATGCAGTCGGATTTCCCGTTGTTGATAGGCAACCTGTCGACGTTCCAAAGGGGTTCCATCGGCATTATACTTGCTCAGACACTTGACAGCGTAACGGACACCAGTCTTGATATCAATGGCAGAGTACACCACGCCATAGGCTCCGGTTCCAAGAACCTCGGTCAGTTGCAGCTTCCCCTCGAGAAATCTACCTAATCTCTGCTCTGGAGCAAGCGGGACGCATCTTGACTGGAAAGTTGTGTGCGAAAAGGCCTGCTGGTTGTTGCCGCACTTGAGATTATCGTAGGCGGGGGATGCTGGAGGCGTGGGATATCCGAATGGCGCATGGTGCTGCATGTTATGGACTTGAGTATATCAATGTTCTCCGGTGAGGAACGGCAAAAGAAGAACAAAGTCTCGGGCCAGTTCAACGGATCCACTGGAGAACAGAGAGAGCAAAGAAAAAAAATCCTATACCCAGCCCAGGATATATATATACGGAGTAGTTGGAGAGGATGTTCCGGACTAAGTCGACTTGACAACCGAATCAACGGGTCAAGATATATTGGTCAGACGACGGGAGGCGGTTGACCAAAACTAGTATATGAGGTCTCCTTGGTTAAAGGAAAGCATCGACGTTGCAGGTGGCCCTTGGAACAAACAATCCCGGTGGCAAGATGGCTGGTATGAAGGAGGTTGAAGGAGAGTCGCGAAGTAGGTTGCTGAAGCTTGTAAGTGCTGTATGCAGCAAGACTAAGGCGGGCATCAACAGGTAGATAACGATGAAGGCTGGTCCACACTGGACCATGCTGGACCCTCCATTACCACTCCAAGCTTCATGCTCTCTTCTTTCACCAACCCTGGGGCGGACAGCAGGTACGTACCGATTGCGTGGAGCATCCACAAGATGCACGCCAGGCCACGGTGGGCCCACAAGCCTCATCACAGAAAACCCAGACCTGACCTGGGTGGGAAGATTAATGGCATGGATGCTCCGTCCGCTATCTTGTCTTAGCCGGCAGGGGTGGGGAGACCATCAGCAGAGCGCTACTGCAGCAGCTATTCTTAACTGCGCCATAAGGTTCGGCCACGTCCAAAGGGAAGGGGGGTGAGGGTCCGAGGCTAGCGACGGCAGGGATCCTGTATCGTGTGGTGACGCTGAGCAATATACGAGAGGCGAGGATAGTCTGACACACCAAAATAAAGTGGTTCCCTTGTGTCATGGGTCGCCGCCCAGCCCATTTTGCCTTCTGGACTAGCAATGCCAGACATGGACCCACGCCACCAGGCAGTCAAAGGCCAAAGAATGTGCAGAGGCGGATTGCAAGGTGTCCAGAGTGCCAGATTGCCAGATTGCCAGACTCCAACCAGTCCTAGTCCTGCCGGGAGGCAATTCCAGCACCCCTGCTGCATCACTCCTCGCCATGATCCATCACAATCGGGCGAAACGTAATGGAAGGACACTGAGCCGCTGAGACTCTGAGAGCGGCCTGGATGAACCCTTTCATGTTCCCCCTTGTGCTCACGTCGTTTCCTACTCCCACAGGCGGTGCCAGCTCTTCCATATTGGCCGATGACGCCTCCCCCCAAGAAGCCTGAGGACCTCATTCGGTGCTCGTGACCCCATCCAAAAGCTAGGCTGCCAGCGCTGCCTGGCAAATTGCTTCCTTCACTCTAACCGCATACCATCATCATAGAAGGCGAAACCCGAAGTCCAATAACGCGCGTAGACCCTTGGATGAGACACAGTAGGATCCTCTTGCAACAGGTTGATACTACAACAAACAAATATTTGCCTGGGTGAACCACCACTGGGTCCGCATCCATAATGTCTGGCATGAAGCGCCAACCTTGCCGGATCAAGCAGCGCCAGTTTGGCCAGATGATGACAATAAAAATTCTCACTCAACAAGTGCTGTGGAGTGAGTGCTATCCAGAGGAACTGTCTTTCCAGAAGTGTGCACTGAGCCTGGTGTAAGGATTCGCCGGAATGCAGGGGATCACGGCTTTGTTGCATGTATTTTGGTAGTACTTTATTGTCGTCAAAGGTTCTCTCACACCGATAACCGTGAAAACACCTCGCTTTGCTCTGTAAGCCGTGTCCTCAACACCTACTCTGCGGTGTCGTAATGGGAAAAAACGCTACACGGAGTAGGTCATCGTACAATTCCTCTCAACTCTGGTATAAACATGCCTCATCTTCGTTTGCCGTGATAGCTGCCTGGTTTCAACCAACCGGACTCCGCATCACCCATGGCCCATGGATACCTAGATAGCTTACTCCGTACGGAGTATGCATGCCTTCCTTCTGTCTGCACAATGTGACCACTGTCCAATAAACTCAAGCCTGGGCAGTTATGCAAGAGACGGTACTGGAGAGATCGCCACGTTTGACGCGTCTAAGTGGCTGGGCCCATAATGCAAGAATCGTAAGAACTATGTACTATGTATGTACAACGCCACCAATAGGGACAGTGTAAACCATGGCTATGGCGAATTGGATGCGTTGAAGGATCTCGAGTTGGCTACAGACTTGACGTACTTGCATAGTGCTCCGTTGTATATTGAGACGCTGATCGGACAGAGTCCAGAAGAGACCTGGCCTGTTGTTTCGGACAATATGCAGAGGTTGTTGGAGCTTGCAGTGTGAATCGAATTTCCCAAGATATTCTCATAGGGCAGACTGGGCTCAACGCTTTCCAATGATCGACCGTGGCTTATAAGGCCGAGTAAGCGTCAATATCGATCAACATCAGATGTTGCCCATCGCCGTCTTCCAGTGCCCGATGCCAGCAGCACGGGGGCTTTGTGGCTTCCAACCATATCATTACGGAGTGTTTTCCTTGCTTCATTGAGGTCTGGCCTGGCCTGGCCGCGCTTCCCGTCGATACCATCAAATTTGGGCATATCACCTGCACTCTCCAGCGGCAAGGCCCCGGTATGTGTGATGCACGGACAGGCGCTCAAAACAGAGACTTGCATCAGGATACGTGGTTTGATTGGGAGACTAGAGCCGGATCCCGGGAGCTCAACATCACCCTCCTCTTCGCTAGTGGCCCCATGGCTGCAAGCAGCCTCGCCCGGGTCGCCGCCACCAGCCAGTAGGATGCGATTGAATAGGCAGAATTCATAATGGTGGAGGCCTTGGCCCCGTCGCCGCCGGACAGTGAGGCGGTTGCGTTGATCATCCTCTGAGGCATGGGGCTGCAAAGGTCGGAGTGCATTGTCTTCTGTGACGGAGGCGTCCAATACCTTGCCTCCAACGCCCCACCCATAATTCTGTGCCACCCAAGTCACCCGTCAAGAAAATTGCATATTTTTTGTTGTCCTGCCTGCTTGTCCTGATGTCGAACCGTTTGCTGATAGTGGGCCACTCTGCGTGAGTGATACAGGTACGGATGCCACCTCGCAGTCAGTACCCTGTCGCCTGTCACATCCAAGGGCATGGCGATGCTGGCGAGGTTTTGGAGTTGACTTTTTGATGCTCCATCATGGAGACTGTGTCCACAAGCTGTGGAATGGAAACCGTATGCTAGAAGCTCGCGGCCGTTGTAGCAGTAGTTCCATCTTCCCTTCCTAACACAAGTACTAGTACTACTATTACTAGCTTTGGCCCTGGTTGGTGTGCCAAGGCCAGTGTGTCTGTGCCCTGGAGCGTGTCGCTTCTTATTTCTCTGTACGGAGGACACGTATTGCAACCCAGTGTACGGAGTACCGGGGTGAAAGTGCCGAAATATGCTCAATTTTAGGGGACTGGTGACGATCGACCCCGGAGACACAACAAGCTGGAGCCCATCTGTCCAGGTAGGAGACATGTTTCATGGCGGAACAGTGAGAGTAACGGTTTGTAAGAAACCTCGTTTGATGAGCCTGGCCTGGTCAAGTGCCAAACCATGCCATCTCCCACACTGCAGTGAGCAGCGTAGGGATTTGCGCTCGTGTCCCTTCGCTTCCAGCCGCATGTACTCCGTAGCAGCTGTGGGAGTGGTAAATTTGTCGTACCAGGTACAGCACAGCTCGCACCAACTTGGCTTGCGTGGTTGATGGTTGTCCGTTATCAATTACTGGCTGCAACGACTTAGTGCTGCGTGTGCGTGGGTTTGGGTGCACCATGTGGTGCTAAGACGTACAATCCCCGGCACAATATTGGACAGCATGAGTATCCTATGAACAGTCTGGTATGATTCAGGCCTGTACTAGAGCGTGTCCTCGCTTGACAAAGCGTCAAGGTGCAGAGCAGCGTCGGGTGTGCTTCAAGGCAAAGGCAGATTGGATGGAGATGGGAACTTGGAACTGACAGGACGGAGCGCACGGAAGACGAGGTGAGATTGGAAGAGCGGTCTAGTCGCTAGTCTACGGCTGTGTCGCACCTTCCCAATGCTCCCGCCGCAAGGTGGCAAGTGGGCACGGAGCAGCGCAGCCAGCGCTAAATCACGGGACTCTGCACTAGTCCCAAACTGTAAATGGCGCCAGATCTACTGTTCCTTCTCCCCATCTCGAATCCCTAACATCCGTCATCAATCAAACACCCGCCTGGTCTGTGCCGCCCATGGCTCGACCAAGCACAGCCTGTCTTGAGGCGACCTGGTCGTGAGAGTGACATCCCTCCCCGTCTCGATAATCTTATTGGGCAGTGACCGTTTTGAAGCACAGTCAGTGTCTCCTCTCCTCTTGCTTGCCGTACGAGGCTGAGCTTCATCTAATCTCAACCGTGCCGAGATAGATGATCTTGGACGACCTTGGCCGTGCGAGACGTTACGCTTTGCCAGTGCCTTGTCTGCAGCATTCGTTCTTAATCGCGGGGAGCGACGGCAATAGTAATCAACAGAGAGCCCTAGCTCTAATTTCACTACTACTAGTACTCCGTACTCTGTAGCACACGAGGCAACAGTGCGATCCGCGGCCATGGATCTTGCGTTTAACCTCTTGGACGGATCACCCGTTTCCACTCCAGCTCCAGCTCCATGTCAAAGATTACAGCTATTATGGCCAGAGTTATGCGCCATGGTACGGGATCTTCGTATGTACTCCGTACAGGGTTGGAGTACTAGTATACAGAGGACCCCAGAGCGCCATTGCCTATCATCATGATCCTATTGTTCTGGCGGTTTAGAACACACAGACAACGCCGCACAGATGAATAAGCAAGCAAGTACATAGGATCCTGATCTCCCAGTTCTGCAAATATTGGCAATGCGTACAATTACATGTGTCATATTATTGCGAGGCGGCTTGAAGTCGCCCACTACTAGCGAGCGACACCCATAGATTATTCACCACGCGCTTTAGCTCGCCCTGTTGGAATTGCTTCGTCTCGCATGGTGCCGAGATGTTTGATTCCTAGCCACGAAACGTGGGGAGGTTGTCCTAGTCACCAAGCCCCTGGACCTTGACATCCCATTTTAAACAACCCACGTGTCTGTCTTGGCGGCATCACAACAGCCAATTCGTCGCTTGGCCCCTCGCTCAACTATCGGCCGAAAACCGAAGGTGCTGATGTGTATTATGGACTATTGGAACAGGCAACTAGGTTTGGAGGCCGGCTTACGTTGTTTTATATCAATTGGAAAAGACGGCGCACACAAATCGTGGCTTTCTGCCATGTCTCAATTAAACTGCGCCTTCGCTCTTCTCGTCAAACAAAAACGTGCCTCACTACTCCATAAGCACAAAACCAGATTTGCGAGCCACACAGCTCACTAGTCTACCAGACCCGCGGATCACACGTTTGTGTAGAGGCTATCCATTGAAGAGATGACATAATACAGAGAGAGTGCATGGCGCCGAGAAGAAGATGAAGCAGCGACAATGTCTGCGGGGCTCGACTTCATGGTACATGGTCTTTGATCAACTTTGATGTACAGAGTATCCAAGGGCAATTTTGGAATCCCTTTTGCAAATAACTGCCGTGGAGTAAAATGGTCACAGCGTCTGCATCTGAACGATAGCTTCCCGTCAAGACCAGGAAGATGACATGACCGCAGGGCGTGGGCCGTGGCGATGCTTCGGGTAGCAACCACTGCGATATTTGCCGGACAGTGGCTGGTTCCCCCGGTGCCAGAAACGGTGGTCATATTCAAGATCAGTCATATTTGAGATTTGGCTCACCTCACAAGCACCGGCATCTCAACTGCACAAGAGCAGCGGTTTGGAGGGGGCGCCTTGTCAACCACCCAGCCAAGCCAGATCAGCCAACCACCATGTTGGTCACACTGCGCATGGCAACATGGCTTGGACGAAGCGTGCATGGTGCAGGTTGCAGGTTGCAGGTTGCCCGCCCAGCCCAGTCCCAACACTCGTCAGTTGGGGGGAGGGTGGGAATGATGGCCAAACTCTGTCTGTTGGTTGATTTGTGAGCATGTTCCCAGGAAATAGATCTGGCTGAGTTAGTTCCCGTACCCACGAACTCGGTGTCAGTATGACGGTGGAATAGTGGCCAGAAGCCACACGCCAAGTCGGCGTCCTGCTCAAATCTAGACTCTCCACGGCAGTTCCCAAACGCCGGGCTCTACCATCAGCTATGCCCTCCTTGCCTAGTTCCCTCCAGGCTCTCTGGACTATGTGGCATCCACCCGCGGAACTTTGGCACCGCGTGATTGTTTGACGCCTTCTGGCTTAACAAACCACTGGGTTGGGTCAGCCTGTCACGCCAAGTCATGAACCATCGAACGAGCCGTGTCGCTGCGTCGGACCATCTCCGGGCTAGTAGGATGGCTGAGCAAAGGAACTGCTCTTGGTGGCATGGCTCTTGGTATTGGATTGTTGGATACTTTCCCGTCCTGCCCTTTGTCTCGCTGTTGGCCGGTTTCTTAGTTTCGCTCTTCACCTGGTTCGTCACTGGCACCGACTAGGTGACGGAGCACACTGGGCTCGAGTACCGGTGGCATCACGACTGTTATGCGTCCTTTCTTTTTCTAGATCAGCCGGACATTCCAAACCGAGGGGAACAACATGGTGCACCGGGTAGTCGGGTAGCCACCGGTGGACCTGGTCATGTTGGTGGCGCTTCGGTTTCCCTTTGTGAAGGCGCAGCTGATTGCGTAAGGCACTATTACGGAGTTTGTACCATCACATATCCAATATTCCAGCTATCCGGGACTACCGGACGGCCGGCCGCGATCCGGTGGCTGGCCAGATGCCACGACCCACATCGGGTCCGGGCCATGTCCAGAGACAACGACCATCATGAAGTGAACCACATGCTAGTTGGCCTGTGTGTTGAAGTCGATGGAGTTTTGGGTACCATGCTTTTGCTGCCATGCCTACCAAGTTTCTGAGATGGTCCAGAGACGGAGCGCAGAGATGCTCGACTCGGTCGCCCTTACGTCGCATGAACCTTTTATGATGCGATGATTGCAATATCACAGCCCGCTGTGGGCGGTGGTCCACTGACGATCACACAGCAGCAAGTAGGTCATTGACTACGCGGGCCAGTGTGTTGAAAATGTTTCTAAGAGGTACAACAGAAACACCAATGTGGGGGAGCCATGGCATCGCTCCTCAGTCAACGTCGTAATAGGAAGAGAGATGGATTCCACCAGCACAGGCGGAGGTTCCGAGGCATTACAAGGCTCGCAACCGCGTTACTCTGATGTTCTTGATACTACAACCAACGCGAGCCCATACATACATGGACATGGCGGCATACACCGCGGCGGTAGAGCTGGTACAAGCGTCTTCGTTCCCAAGGCGTTCGGCAAGCGTTTCGCAAGGGAGACCTAGGCCCGGACTTCGGAAGCCGAAATGCTCCCTGAATCTACATACGGCATCTCGTACAAGGCGCTACATTGCAACGCCGCGTGTCGCAACGCCCCATCAACAGTCTACAAAACATTTACTTAGAATAGACAAGGCGTAAGGAGTTACAGTTGGACCCCTGCGACCAGGGAAACACACACGCAGGTTCCGTCAGCCCGGCCAGCCGTCTACTCCGTAAGCGTATCAATCAACGCAACAGCCCAGTCCTTGTGTTGTCGAGGGAGGCCAGAACCAAGCTGCGATAGATTCAGGGTCTGAGACAAGCCCGACTATGGCTGTTACATCAAACTGGAAAGTACAGGCGTACACGACCCTCGCCCCAGCCTGTATGCTGGCTAAGCGGCTGACCTGCGAGGAGAAACGAGGTCAAGGCTTCCTCGCAAGGCACACATGTCACATGTGGCACGCAGGGAGGTTGGTACTGCACACCGGGTCTCGCTGGGTTCACGGCAGAAGAAAAAGAAGACAAAAAGACAAAAAGAAGGCGACGATCAATCAAAAAACACGGCGAGTTATGCAAGTTTTGTGTGTCATGCTCTTTTCTTTTGGGGCGGCTGCATTGGATACAAAAGACCCCCACAAGGGTCCGTTTAGAGATCTGATCATCTCGAAACATTCCCAAGATGTGACAGGGCGGTCCGGCTGCTAACAAGCAGGCAGAGCGAGGCTGCGCAATTTCTACAAGGTC